GTAGTGGTTGACACTTGGAAGACCCTCTGACTTCTACTGGGCCAGCGAGGTACCCAAGTGGTCGTCGGACCTGTTCTTCTGCTGGGCCAACGAGGAACCCATGACGTAGTTGTGCGATCGACCCATTGAGGAGATCTTTGGGTCGAAAAGCTGGTCATAGCTCTAGTGGGCCATTGAGGTGCCCAAGTGGTGCCAGTGGTGCTCGAGCCCCTCGTTGTAGTTGTAGATGCCGACGTAGCCACCGATGAGGTAGCCGATGTCTGAACAAGGTTGTTTAAGGGACAGACTTTCAATGATTGAAAAATCGAACAGTTCACTCTCCTTAGCGTCAAAAATTTTCACCAAAACTCCAGTGGAGAAAGGAACGCAACAGGAGAATGATATTCAAAATCGAAAAAAGCCGCTGTACCTTTGGACAATTATACAAGGTGTTGATACGAAGGATATCGCTGACACTGAAGTATGAACGTGGGTAGACGATTCCGGGAAAGTTGTAGTGCATAATTGAGGTTGGATCGTATTTGCCCATGTAGTAAGTTGACCATCGTGGATAAATTTTGTAATTATAATGAGTGGCGCTGCCACCGACTCGTGGATCGCGATCGTCCCTGAAAGAAGATAGTGAATTTAATGTTTTTGGCTAGGCACGATACTTGATTAGAATTTCTAAAGATACCTTTGATGCTCGTGGTAGAAGCCAAGAATGTGCATCAGCTCGTGCATGACCGTACCACGACCATTGAACGTTAGACAGCTCGGATCGAGCCTCATTCGAGTCTCGACATTTCCTTCGGGAGTACGGAAAATGTATGTCGTTTGGCGACCAATATAGGAGAAGCATCTAAATTAGATGAATCAAATCAAGGAAATCAGCTGTTCTATTGAAACATGGTGCTCTAAATTGTAAAAAAAGTGCAGAATAAAAAAAACAATTCACAGTACAGTCATTTACTTACCTCTCGAGGTTGTAGTACTTGTTAATCGTTAAATAGTAACGATCTCCGGCATTTCGAGGACGGAACGTTATGCACGTATGCTTAGGGAATTCGGCCATTGCAGATAGAATAACACCTCTCTCCCACTCGTTGTAATGAGGAGCGATCTCGTACGGGACTACACCACCCGGCCAGAGACTGAAAAATATGAAAATTTTGAAACTTATAAAGAAATTAGCTGGAACTTGAAGAAAAATTAACTTACTGCATTCTCCATTGTGACGGATGAAGGGCTAGACGTTTGCTTCTTGGCTGCCTTTCCAGACTGTCGGTGACGTCGGTAGAGTCGATGACCGACTGAAAAACACATCTATAAGAGGAAAGAGTAAAGTTTACCGCAGTCAGACGGTCTCTTCGTCTGCCTCCCTACCACAATGTTTCCACAATTGGATGATTGAGCCAGAAAAAAACTAGTTTTTCAGAATTGTTATCAGCAACTACAGGGTGCTGCTGTCGGCAGTTAGATTATTCGATAAAGTTGGCAGGATTACAGCAGCTAATCGGAAAACTCTAGAGATCCATTAACTCGAAAGATTAAGCCAACGAATTCGTGATTAGTGGAAAGCGAATGGGGTGTGGGGAGTACTGCACTGTATGAAGCAAAGAATTTGTTACTTACCAGTAAGGCTAATAGGGAAGTCAACAGGATGAGAAGCATTGGACAAATGGCTCGTGTCGAGGTTTTCAGCGGATTCTGAAATCTGTACAAGAAGGAATCAGCACGACCTTTATAGTGGTCAGGCGGTAGGGATCCGAAGCAATCTGGCGAGAAAGAGTACAAGTTGAGAGCAACTGAAGTTAATCATAAATCATGATAGACTGAGGCGAACGAGGAGTGGGGACAGAAAAAGAGACACTGGCGAAAAAAGTCCAACCTCCTCTTCGACGATCTCGAGATGACACGGAACACGAGGGCGGAAGTCTCNCACACACCTCTCCTGCACCTAAAGTACACCATGGAGGTTAATACAGTAGTTCGCCCTTGTACTGAACTCTACTGTCGATGGCATAACTAGGGTGGGGAGGCCTTAAAAGAAGCTCTGTTTGACTCAAAAGGCTCAATCCAGCCGTTTCACGGGTATGACGTCCTTTTTAATAGACCTTATCCATAAATAGAAGGGTTATCCCAAAATGAGGGCCCGTTTTGGAGTATTTGATGGAAAACAGTCTACAACGAGCTATCAGGAGCCTTCCGAAAAATAAAAACGGAGCTAAAACTTGATTATCAGCTGATGTTCTTACTGTTTTAATCACGAGTTTATAAATGGAATCGTCATCGAACGTCATCCGTTGGAGCAAGCCTGTTTCAGCACCCAACAGGGAACATAGTAAGCAACCGTAGCGTCGCAGTAATACACAGAAGATACTATGGAAAACTCCTAAAACAAGTAGTTTTACTAGTTTGAATATGTCACCCAACTTCTACGAATAAGTAGGTCCGAAAAATGATTAACTTACTTGTTCAATGGGCTTCTCGGTCGGTCGATATATGTATGAGCCGATATGTGGTTCCGTCGGTATGCGTGTCCGCAGTAAGTGTTTCGGCATTGTTGTGGGCGTGATAAGTGAGTAGATAGAAAAAACCTATCCCTATCCATATAAATGAATGAAAGTGAATTCCTACGATAAGATCGGACGATATGATGACTACAGCCGTACCCATCTTCACTTCCACCCATGAAAATCGCTCAACAGAGCCGCCCAGAGTAACATCCCCCCTGCGTGAGCAACGCACTCGACTTCTTTCCAAACTTCAACGGCATGGTAAAACTCTGACGTTACGTTACCAGTATCGCTTGGAAGTTCGAATAGTTTTCTGGTCTGTCTAACGTCTTGCAAGGACCAACCAATGCATAAGTCAGTCCTTTCAGTGCTTCAACTCGACGGACCACGTCTGGTATCCAACCTGGACTTGCTTCTGGTTCCCTCCAGACTCTTCCTGACTGCCTGGAACTCCATTAATAGAGCCTTTTTGTTATCCAACAGCTACTCTTCAATATGCTTCCGTCGACGTAAGCCGAGGGTTCCGTCTGCAGCAGAGCAGCTCCTCAGAGGTGATTCTACCACAAAATTGGTTTAGACGTAGTAGATTGGTATGTCGACGCTTGTCTTTCCATAGACCAGGGATCAGATCAAAGAACCAGACAAGGCTGAGTAACCAATCGTCATGTGGTATTAACCTGACGTGATGTTATGATTGGCACCACACCGTCATAAATTAGACTGCCCTTAGATGTGCTAGCAGTCAGTAAAGGCAGCAACGCTGCACTTGAACATGGTCACATATGAAAAACTTCTGGCATATGGAAGGGAAAAAACAAACCGACGGCTGCCGAATAACCGGAAAAGTCACATAAAAAGCTAGCGGAGATGATCGGGTCTTAGGTTCAAGGTCCGAGAAAGGTGAACATCTTGCCAGTAACTCAGCATTTTCGGAAACAATCACTGGTTGATCAGTTCGCTTCCTTTCCGCGGTCGGAAGTGGACCAGAGGGTCATTTCTGCGGTCAATGAAATTAGAGCAGCTTCGAAATATGTGAATCGACATGATGGCGATGGAGTGACATAGCGATTAACTTTTGACGCCGCTACCAAATCGAGGACTGACTATCGGAACCTCAGCACGACAATGGACCTCAAATAATGCTCTGCCTCTGGATGTAGGTGAGCGCTAATTTGGGAACGGGAGCTTGCTTCAGTGGACCTTGACTCGAATTTCTTAACTGCTCTAACTTGGATGGTAAGAACTTTTTTCGGAGTACTTGTCACACAAATAAGATTCAGCCAAGCATTGTGGCGGACTCATGGTGAAATGAGATAAGAAACGAGAAGTAAGCGAACCTTTCAGAGAGCTGTTGCAGTCAAGATTTGTCACTTCATTTGCCCTCCTAGAGCAAAGGCGCATAACTTAAAAATCCTTGGGTAAGTGCTAAACATCTCGAGATTTCTAACGAGCGAGGCAGCGATCGGGTTGCGCTGCAGTTGTTATGAGCAGAATTCTAGACAGTCCTCTCCTCGCTGGGTTTCATTTGATTTTGTTCGTCAAGTGCCAACAACCATATCCCGAGAAACCTCAGTTTGCCTCCCTTACTCAGCCTAACGCCAGAGCTACAAGGTATGGTCAGTCATTAACACATAAGTTTTCACACAAGGCACTCGATACTATCTTCGGCATTCGTCTTCGAGCAGGCCAAATTTGAACGTAATTCAGTCTGAAGTGTTGCGCTCCAAGAAACGAGCTCTGAGATTTCTCTTTACTTACAAAAGTACATATCCAGTGCAATTGCGAAAACAACTGACCGGTACTGAGAAGCGAGATGACCGATTTCGCGAAATTCGATAGCAACGAATTTCTTTCTCTCGACTCTTCAGTCGTTTTGTAAACAACAAATGACAGCCACAAATTCAAAAAGAGCTTCGCTAGTAATAGCGCAATGTCCACTTCCTACTACTAGAGCTATGCACATTTACTTTCGCTCACCATTTTTATTAGGCCCCCATGAATCGGTTTCATAGGATGCCTCTTTGAGAGCCACTCAAAATCCTGATGGGTCTCGAATGCTCGTTTGATTCCAACACGACTACTAAGGCTAGTTAAAGTGCAACTCATCGTTATTGTCTATCCAGGTGAAGCCCACTACCAAAACCAAGTTTACCAAGAGCCCTGGATGAAAGGAACTGTTTGCTGAGTGGGTTGAATTGCGGCAAGTGCCTCACTCGACTCCAATGTTTCATAGCTACTGAATTTTGTTATAAATTGAGACGTCGCTAAGAAGATGAACACGAGAACGCAGTCACACAAAGCAGAATCAGTGCCCAAACAGCAAGCTCAGGAGTGGTAGGCAAGAAGGAAATCTAAATAATTCCATTCGCAACCGATACTTCTGATTGAAGTTGTCACAGCCCAAATTTCAAAAAAAGTCGAGCGCATGGCGCACCCCCAAGAGCTTAATCGACTTTTCTCAAACATCACTACGTCATGCCGGAATAGTTAGGGCCTCTATAGAGGTCAATTCTGAATGCCATCGATCTATTTCTAGCTCCCGAATACGCCTGCTTTCATCCAAAGTCCGACACAACATGGTACAACGATTGGAAGTTATCCTCAGAGACATTTCCTCTCAGAAGGTTCCGAAAAGTCCACTATTACTGCTCTGAGTGATATCACTTAGAAAAAACTTTTTTATTATTGCAGTAGAATTTTAAGAACAAAAAATCAACAGAATACATCACAAAGCCCGTAAGAGACGATTGGGAAGTTCGAGATGGCAGCACCTGAAATAAGGCCGAACTCGAAAACAAGTCAGTTTTCCCTAAGAGAACGATCAACAGTTTTTCGATCACTATACCGACTGACAACACCATTTGATTGATGGCCGATTCTTATATTTAAACAGCTATTTCAGTACTCCATGTCACTTTACAATTAAGTTCATTAGTCCCTTCGAAACGAGTCTAATGATCAACAAAATCTTTAAAAGCATAAATCTTTCACCTGTTTCACCGTGTCTTCGTAGTACAGCCCATGAGAAATGCCCTATTCCCCTGCCATATAGGGAGGGGTCAACTGGGAGGACTCCCCACTGCAAAGCTTGATCGTAACCCGAACACAGGACAATAATGTTGGATCATCGCCAAAATAGTCACAACATGTGAATCAACCGTAGAGGTGTCGCTCACACGAGTAGATTTATTAGATTTATAACAGACACAGTTCTGGGTCATCTGGTTCTAGACGAGTAATGGAGGCGACAGTCCGGAGTAATGCAAAAGTGGAGAAGAAAGCGTAAAAATTGGCTCATTTGGGAAGCTTCAAAAAAGTTGTAAAATTATAGTAGAGCGTAAGGGGTATCTGGACGAGCTGTCCGATTGTGCGTGCCACTGCATACCCCTGGTTACAGTAAGCTGCCTGCTTGCAACATGTGCGTCTTGACTTTCTTTTAATAAACAAGACTGTCTTCTTTTGATGACATCAAAAAAGAAAAGAGCTTAGAATAGGCTATCGCTAAAACACTTCAAAATGCTTTATATAACTATAAAAGAGGGTAAGCCGAGCCCAGCGGAAATGGTAGGGAAGCTGTGGTCCAGCACACACTGCTTAGGTAGCTCAACCTTCAGTTCGTGAAGCTGGGTAGCTCGACACGTGGCGATTAAGGTGAAGGCAACACTATCATTTAGCAGAGTACTCCAACTAAGAGCTTTTCAGGACAGTAGGACAAATGCTGGATACTTTTGCAGACCTGTAGAAGTGGGCTAAACGTCCCAGCGTTGCTGCAAAGTGCTCTCTCTCGGATTCACGCAGAACAAATTCCGTAATTCGTTCCAGATTGGCTTCATCTGCATGTTTACCTGCAACGATACATTTACTTGCACCAGTCACGATAATTGTATTCGTCATGACGTCGAAGGAAAAACAAACCAACCATAAATCTTAACCAGCTCATCGTAGATCATAGCCTTGTCTTGTGGTCGAAATTGAAGTAGACGCGAAAGCTCAATCAGACTTTCCAAGACAACCACCTGCAGAAGAATATTCAGAACACGAAACAAGTATGATGAAAGGCGAAATAGGTTGATTCAGCGGCAAATAGCGCACTACCACACTCATGGCCCACAGATCGCAATCGAACTCAAAAACTGCTTTGGCCGATCAAGCTTCTCAATCCCTCCGAAGGTCAGTTATTTATCATCACACTCGTTGCGGAGGATGAACCAGTGATTTGTACATCGGCTGTAAGCCATTACAAGCCACTTCTGCATTCAGAAGCCCCGAGTATTCTTAAGGGGAGTAGACTCTCAATGGCCGCTGCTACGGTACGAATGGAAGCCAGATTTCGATAGATACCCATATAAACCTAATTTCTCCTCCTTTTGGATGAAATGGCTGCTATCCGAGCCTATGTCTGACCACAACACTGGCTGGCTCCAGCAATACATTGCAGCTACATATCAATTGTCCCCATGGCTCCGAGTGCGTCAGAATTCTGACCACATTTTCACATTAACAAGCTACAACTATGAGTAATTCAAGACAGAATGCAATGCATCATAGAGAAAGATGAATTGATAAGATGTAAAGCGCTGGTAGAACTTCAAAGGAATTGGTAAGAGCACTTGCCTTTTTCAACTTGGCAGCCAATTCCACGATGAATCGTAGCTGCGAACTTTCCAAACGAGGATCTTGCTGGAATTTTGGATTTTTTTCTCTCATCGGTTTCATACTTCAGAGAAAACACGCACCCCTAGCGATTCCACGAACGCCGCATTCTTTCCCAGCTCGAGTGAGACGAAGCGCTTGAGGTTTTGAAGAGCAGATGGAGATGTCGTCAAAATAGTATTTTCCACTAAAAAGGGTACTATTGAGGATTTCTATTTTAAACATTACAATCAAAAATAGCCTTTATTAAATATAGTTTATTCATAACATAGTACAATACATATGACTACCATAAAACAGGATTGAATGTAGTAATACCAAAACTGCATCTATCGATATGACATGGTCAGATGGCTACTAGACCTGAATTGTCGTCATGGAGTGACGCTGATAGTTCCGTTCTGGGATCGCCCACATATTCGAGTTCCATCGAAACTCTTCTGAACCCAAGCACAGAAGTCAGCAGACATAGAATTTAGCGCTTTTTCCGTTCTGAGGGGCCTGGGCTTGCTTAGCCTTGGTGACTTAGACCCAGGACTTGATCCACTGGCGATTGACTGTAGCATCGCGTGGCACTATCCCACCTCCACTCGAAGTTATTGCAACCTTAAAGCATCCGCTAGGCTTCTCTTAGTGAGTCCAGGGATGTTAAGCTTTCATTTGAAAGTGTATCTAGTGGGAGGAGGTGCACATATCGAACCGTAGGATCATGATTTTCCAACGCACACAGGGGTGCATGGGAGGGACTGTTTGGAAGGGAGTAGAGCCGTGCAGATAAATGAGCAGAGGCACGTTAAATTCAAAATCCACAAATGAGGGAAGAGCGCATCATAGAAGCTTCTGTACGCTCAAGCGAGTGCCTTACAAAAAATCAACCCTGGAAGGATGAAGAATTGGTCTGGGCTAACCGAAACTCGATGGTCCAATGGTAAGCTGGAGACGAAATCGTGCCGAGTTAGGCAGCTTTTGAATGGAACTGAAACCCGGTCTGGTGGGTCGGTCAGCGCCAATGGTCTCAGTCTTGCTCTTATATCACACGCCGGAAACCGGTTCGAACAGCTTTTACTTCTCGTTCTTCCGGTACGCCAACTAAACCCGAGAGCTCCAGAAAACTAGAACTTTTTTTAAAACGTTCCGGTAAGTACGACAATCTCTCTTCGATTTTACACCACTAGCGAACCTCTCAATGTGCCCACTCTCATTTTTCATTTAGGGAAGGCAATAACCTTTTAGTACAGTACTATGAGCGCCCGCGTGTGATAGGTAATGAACGAATTTGTAGTGAAGTTGAAGTGGGAGATTTTGTAACCAGTAGGAGAGGTGCAATGTATCTGCCTATGATGATGGAAGACGATAAAGTGCAATAACAACCTATAAAGTTATTATTCCCTGTATTTCATGCCGTTCATGCTCAAATGTCGTCAATAGTTAACATCACTCCTAAGTGCAAAGTCTGAGTTCATTGCCAGTTGTGCAGCAGCGATTATCGTTCCTTATCAGAGCTCTTCAGACATCTTTATCAAAAGATATCACGCACTATCAATACTTATCCGTCTCTGCTCTTTATTAGAACAGACATTTCGCTGTGCATCACGAAGGCACTTTAAAACCGTGATGCATACGAACCTACTAATACTTGTGACATCAACGAAGAACCTTCTGATTTCGACCAGTTCCGAGCTATAGGGCATGTTACACCCCTCCAAAACGTTTCAGCTAATTGCCTTCCAGGGAGGAGTGGTTGAGGGGAAAAACATTATTATAAACTTTCGATTGAAAATCCGATTAATTCGGGGGTTTGTAGATGAGTCTGAAGGCTGGACCTCTCAAGAGCAGGTGTACACATGGTATCGTGCGAAGGGCGACCTGACCGAGCGGCAACTATCCAAAAAGACCAAGAAAAAGAATATATGAGAAATTATGGAAATGAGTGCAATAGGGGCCCTACAACTTGATCTAGTAGTGAAAAAAAACCTTCCAGTATACATACGTACCTTTTGCTAATTCCTCTTCCTTCCCGTGATCCATTGCGCTATGCAGCAGGCAATGGAACGTCCTTGTCAACGACTTTACTCGTCCCAGCTTTTTCAGCTGTTCCAACTCAGCAACAGCTGCAGCAATGCCATTACTGAAACATTTTTCTTCGGAAAAAAGTGTTCTGAAAACAAATCGACACGTGGAGCTATCCAGTAGAGTTAGCCCAAGCCAGTACCCATAAGTGTAATGGGCTCGATTCCCGTCTGAGGAAAATCATGTCCTGGAGAAAATGAAAAAATGGGTCAGTACAGGTGTCAGGTCCAGATTTGCACACGGGGCGGATGCGAACTCCCGTCACAAAAAAGACGAGCAGAGTCGGAAAAGTAACTGGTGAAGAGCCTGGACAAAAAAAAATTCGGAAAAGAATCAAGAACTTGGAAGAAAGCCCATCAAAGAGTTAGCTGAAGCGTTCCGTAACCTAACCAAAACAAGTAATGATGCATCAGAAGAAATTCAACGGGTCAACGAACGCTGATCAGCCACTGATCTGGTCAGCTTTTCTCTCTTCTGGAGCTCTCATACCAAGCTCATATATTCAGCGCAGTATGCAACCGATCTCTCTCAAATGCTGTCTAACCCTGTTCTACTTCCATGCGCGTAGATAATTTGTTCAAAACATACCAACATAATGATAACTGATGCCTTATCAACTCTTTTTAAACGGGCTACTCTTCACGGCTACATTCACTCTACTCACGCTCTGTTCAGGAACAACTCGCTTACTCGGAGGATCGAAGAAGATCTCTAAAGGGTCCCAAGGAACCTACCAACGATTCGTGCAGCTTTGCATTAGAACGAAATGAAAGTCGCGCACAAATCTGTCAGTGGAATAAGTACGGGAATAATGAGAAAATCAAATCCAAAGGAATTCGATAACAATGTGAAGGTAGGGTTACTGAATTTGTCCAAGTGACATTTTGAAATTTATCCGGTTTTTAAGGTTCACTCACTCGTGACAGAGTTCAAAGCTTACAAACCACCAGCAGGAATGTCAGAATCGGTACAGAAGCTATAGGGGAGTGTGCCGTTAGTTCAGGGCGAGAAGGTTCAGCGCAGGAGGGAGGGTTGCCACCGCGACAAATGTCTCTCGATGCTCATCCATCCGTGGGCCATTCTTCCCACGTTTAAATGCAGAAAATTCGTTCCCTGAACTAGCGATACATAAGCATACAGAGTGTTCCGTTGATGGACTGCTGGTCGAAATCTGATATTTGCAGATGGCTCGTACGATGGAAAACATAATACGAAGGATTTTCACCAGCACTGCTCAGACTTCGTATGAAAAACTATTGAGATTTGAAGAAATGCGAGAATTATGCTTGCGGTCGCGGGAGCTTTTTCTTCTCGAGCCCTGCTTCGTGGAGTACGCCAGCAAAAGTAGTTCAGATGTCAAATCACAGACAGAAATATAAGATTTTTCAGAGTTGCTCCGCCTCTACTTATCCTAGGCGATGTTCACGGTCAACTCTACGATATGCTGGACATACTGACTTTTGTCAGTAAACGCATATATTTTACCAAGCTTCCTGAACTTCTAAAAGTGAAGAGTCATCTCAACTACCCTTGAGCGATATTGGCGCACTCAGGCCACACAATCCGTCCATAACAGTTGACTTGGAGTGGCGGAAGGGCAGCATTAGACTCGATCTGCTCACAACGCGTGACGATTCTTGGCTAGTTGTCTCGCCGCGTTCCATGCCACAAAGTCTCATACTTGATGTGGGTAACAAGACGCCATCGGGGCGACAGCGTTTGTTCGTCCTAGCTTTACACGGAACGACCCCTCTGACCCTACTAACTTACACCCATACATCGGTCGGTGGAATGGCTGATGAAGAGAGATGTGGGACCATAACAAGTGAGGGCTATCACTAACTATTAGAGTATCAGTAAAGATGAGTGATAGGCAGTGATATGATTGTTGACGGTGATAGAAAACGACGACAGAGACTGAGGGCATGCCTTATACTTAGCAATGTTTGCAGATTGGTCATCCACCTCAGAAACGATTACTCTTTCTTGGTGACTACGTTGACAGAGGAGATTATAGCCTGGAGACCATCACTTTGCTGCTCGCTTTCAAGGTACTTACATAGGTGATAAGACGAGATGGGCAATCAAAATCGAAACAATTGCTAGTAATCTGCTCGAGTGCTGGATTTTGAGAAAACGCTAGCCTTCAGCTTTCATTCGGGTTGGATGGGTCGTAAGCTTTCCGAACATTTCACAGTCAACTGCAGTAAAACCTCCGATTGCAGTTACGGTTTCCCAAAGAAATCTACTTACTACGAGGAAATCACGAGACAAGATGTGTGAATAGACAGTATGGCTTCTTTGACGAGTGCAAGAGGAAATTCCCAGAAAAAGGTGGGTAGGCTGCGTGACCTGTTGGAGGACAGCAGCCCTGCGATGCGTGCTGCTGCGTCGCGACTCCGCATTTCGGTCAATACGCCCAACAATGCCATTAGATCAAGGGGAACTTTGCTGAAAATTCCTCGATTCCGGTCTACATGAGCTATTAGTGAAGACTAAACATGGAGCACATTTCAGGAGTCGAATTATGGACGCTCTTTCAACATGTCTTCAACTGCCTTCCAATGGCCGCACTAGTTGGCACTAAGATTTTCTGTGCTCATGGAGGGATATCCGAAGATCTCATCTCTTTCAAACAATTCGAAAGTTATGTTGAAATCATAAGGGCTTTTTACTGAGCCTTGTATTCACCTGATCTACCTGCTATGGGTCGATTTCATACGAGTACCAGAGGGATTGCCCAAGCCTACGATTTCAGGGTCTATCGCCCAACTGATATCTGTGATATAGGCCTATTGTGCGACTTAATATGGGCAGATCCATCGCCAGCATGTTCTTTGTTCGAAGAAAGCCCACGTGGAGTATCCTTCGTAAGCCTTCGACTGAAGCTCACATCTGTTTGAAGGATTCTACTGTACTTTTAAAACTTTACGGAATTCAGGTATTCGGTAAACAGGCGGTGAACGATTTCTGCAATCGGATGAATGTAGACCTGATATGCCGTGCGCATCAATGTGTTATGGAGGGGTAAGCTAGTAGAGAAGACGTAGTTCAAGCTCCGTCCGTGTTTTGGGATGGGCATGTTGAGGTAACCGGGTAAAACCCTCAACGTCGATCAAAGTCCTTAGAATAAAAATGTATCCGACCTCTACCCAAGATCGTTGGCCACGAAAGGGCTTAAGGGACAGACAGTTGGTTTGAGCGGGCTGCCATAACAGCACTAAAATGTACTGTTCCTACAAAAATACCGTACCGTGAAAATACCGTAAAAGTACCGTTTCCAGGTACGAGTTCTTCGCCGATCAAAAGTGTCTGACGCTCTTCTCAGCACCCTGCTACTGTGGTGAGCTCGACAATCGAGCCGCAGTTATGCATGTGAGCGGGTAAGCCAATCCCGAATGCATGGTCCTCATGTAATGTAGCTGATCATCACGATTTCAGACAGTTAGAATGCCGAGTGCTAACGTTCAAAAAGGACACGGGGCTAACAACGGCAGAATGTAAACGGACGATTGAATCAAATGCAGTTTCCCCGTCAAGACCCAAAGGTGCTGCTCGATCAGAAATCACAAGCTCCCCATCGGCAAGTGCTCGGAACGACTTGAAGATCGACAGAACGCCCAGGTCAGACCCTCCTACTAAACCCATAGTGGCTGCTTCAGCACCAACAAAAGGAGCAGGAAATCTCAATGTGACAACACAATGTGCGGATGGAAAGCGAGCTCCCGCAGGGAGAAAATCCTTTCTGATCCAACAACCTTGTACGGATAACGGCCAAGCTTCGGGCAAAAAATCCATGGTGATGACAGCTCGTCCGGCCGAAATTCAAATCCCTGCAAGCAAGACATCCTCGGTGGTGTCACTTGACACAGATCGCAGTCGAGCTGGTTCAAGCAACATACCACTTGCAGTGTCACCATGTACGGATGAAAGGTCGTCGGCTCCTTCGCTCAAACAATTCATTGTGATGGCTCCCGGTACAGAGAAAAAGGGATCCTCTGCAGGCAAAAAATCACTTGTCATGTCACTTCGCATGGATGATAATCGAGCTTCTACAGGCAAAGACTCCATCTTGATGATACGTTCCACGAATGGGAATCAAACCACTCCACTTAAAAAACCTAACGAGATGACACCTGGTGCCGGTCAACGAATTCCTGCCGAAAAAAATCCATCGAAATGAAAGAGAGTTACTGCTAATTTCGTCCATATTAAATAATGTAAGCAATACCCATAATACGATTGAAGCAATAAATAAGTTGCTTTGAAAAGTCTTTTACCATTTTGAAAAATTTCGACAGTGAACATGTACCTTTGTCGAAAACTGCGCGGAATACTTCGTTCAAACATCAGAAGGAATTAAAATGGGAGGACGAGGCCGACTTTTCCAACAATTGACACAGGTTCTAAGGCAGTTGTGAATCACAAAAAATCCCAAAATAGATCTCTTCCGTCACTTCTTTCCGACACCACCTATTCTAGACCCCAAATATGTACATCAACATTTCATTTCTCGTTAGACTTGGCCTCTGGCTCTCAGAATTTCGGACGGAAAGTATTTGCCCAAGATTCCGCATTAGTTCAGAATACTCCCGAGGCTTTCTGGATGCTTCTACGTGGTTTCTATGTAAGGACTTTGCCCACCAGTGTACGCAGCTCCTTCTTTCTTGCTCGTTTGACCGTATAATGGCCAAACTGTCCACCCATATTCTGCACGTGGTTCTTCACATGTTCGGATCCGGCCATTTCGCTGCTGAAATCCATTGAAAGCTCCTTCTTAACGGTTCTGTACACACCTCGTTCCAAGGCTTCATAGTCTGTTCCGAAGAATTTGAAGATGTTCCTCGAACTCGTCAACCGCTTACGTTATCATGAAATCTCTTAACATGATGCGCATACGATTATGCATTGTCCCTTCATAGTATTTGAAAGCTTCCAGAAAACCCCTGCAGAAATCTGAACAGTTGTGAAATTGATGGCAGTTACTTTCCCACAACCTATTCGTACAATAAAACCCTCCGACTCGAATAGTTGTGTAGGTTGTGTAGGTCTTCCCACTCCTATAGGCAGTCAGCGGTTGCGGGTGGTTATGTCTCACGCAAGCCTGTATACCACAATTGAAAAAAGGTGACTGACTTTCAAAAGAGGGTTTTTCGATTCAAGGGAGGTTGAGTGAATAAGGCAAGAGATGTACGTTCTCAGAAGAGGGGAACCCCCTTTCAAACTCCAGCATCCGACCATCCCTCTGTTCCAAAGCTCTGATGATTCCAAGCACGTCAGATGGAACAGATGGAGATGGGCTTCCGAGTTCTATAACCAAGACGCACCTTTGAAGTGCTCTCTCAACGAACAGCACTATGAAGACGTCCTTGTTCGAACAGAATCTGCCCTCCAATAGCCATCGATATAGTCGATGCGCTCTATCCAAACCGTCTTCAACTGTGCTGTTAATCACTCTTACAAGCGCGGCAACCACTTGTTCCTCTTGTATTCCAGACTTTCTTGCTGAAATGAAGAACTAACTCGGAGACAAAATATGTATACCTTCTAAATTTGCATGACCTAAGCCGAAACCCGAGCGAGGAAATTTACAAATGCAATTAAGTGCAACTCAAACGATTCTGTTGAATCCAAGGCTTGCCTACTGGTCCACATTGTTCTACATAACTTATCGTAGGCTTCTACTCCCTTCAGTTCTGCGTCTCAGTACCAAACTTCACTCATAGTTTCATTTTCAAGATTGGTGAACCCACCGAATCGATGTATCCCGCCAGTTTCCTCATAGTGCTGTTTCAGCAAGCTTTCAGACTCATGTTCCAGACCGTTGGCAAGGAGGACGCTCGACAGTTTCACTACACCCCAATCAGGAACATCATTTGTTTCCCTATAAATGGTATTGTAAGCCACACGCCCAATTCTATAATAATTTCTTAGCGCTCACCTAAATGCTTCATGGCGGGAAAGGGCCGTTTTCAAATCGCCTGTGCTGGCTATTCGTAGGATTTCCTTCATTTCACTGGCAACATTTACACTGGAACACTGCCTCATCTGTAAGCACACTATACAGGCTTTTCTAAAACAAAACATAATACAATATCAAGGGCAAAGTTACTGGGATATTTTATGGAGAGAAGGATCGAATCAAACTTTAGGTCAAGAGTTGACTAAATTGTTTGCTACAAAACCAGGGCATACAAAGGGCCTCTCAACCAGAACCATAGGCTAATGTAGCGTCGCCTACCACCACTCATCAGAACATCGGACTATTTAGTTGGCCTATCATACTGAACGTAATAGAAAAGAATTGGGAAAAGTCTACGAATACATAAAATCAATGAAAGCTAGAGGACTCCGAAAATCTTTCGCTCCTTATTGTCTTCGTTTGGTAGGCTTATCGGATGCTCTAAAACAAAGAAGTTGGCTCATAGATCTAATCAAAAGTATCTACCTGAAATCTCCTCGCTCTTACCGAGTTATCCCCTCTGCTCGAAAAAGCAGCAATTTTTGAACCTCTATTCAGCTAAGAACACCCTCCCCCCCACCCCTTCGGTGTATACCAACGTTCCAGAAAAGCAGTTGAGGTCAAATACTGACCCTTTTGATTAGCTTATTTACCACAAAGTTATAAATTTCTTATAAGCACCAATTACGGACTTACAGCAGCATTATAGCAAATCTGTGTATGTGGTAATATCCTCCTAGTCCAAGAGATCATGTCTGCTGTCCGCTGGATAACCTTTCTGTGACAAATCAATGACGCCCTGGGACCGAGAACAGACCCTGTGAATAACCACACTTTCTCTTTGTGACTTTAACAATGATCTAAAGATGATATGCTTATGATCAAATGTAATCGAATAAAGTAGGTAAAACTTTTGAAATTTTTATGCTGTTAATGGCACTCAATATTATACAGTCCTATCATAAACTTTACAAAAAAAAACAAATAAAATCCTAAATTGCTAGTCTCCTAAAACTTCAACAACTCCAACAACAATGTACAATGTAAGGATTCATACAGTTTTTAGCTTGACAAACGCTAGGGTTTCCTGCTACCGTTGACTTCCAATTTCTATAAAGAAAAAGTAATAAAGAAGGAATGCAAATCAAATTGGAGAATTCATAACTGACCTTCCGTTGCAAGTTCTCAAAAACTGTTCTCATCTGTTGCTCAAGAGGAAACGAAATACGTTCTATCTCAGCCTCTAAGCTCTCTAATTGGGCGAAATCGTTGCTTTTATCTGAAAGAAGGCTAATTTCGAAAAGAGGCTACGTAAAGTACAGCTGTTGGGGTTTTAAATTCAAATTTTCAAACTTTCGCAAAACCTAAACTCACAATACATTCGACTGAGCTGCACGAGTAATCGATTTAAAGCTACCGTAGACGCTCGGTCTTGCTGGCAAAGACCGGTGAAGAGTCCCCGAAGCACATCAGGCTGAAATATTATTCCTATTTTCCTTCATTTACAGTCAGTAAAACCCCAGTAAAACCCAACGGCTAACCCTGTTGTTTTCTGTCGCTCGTCTAATGAAGTAATCCAGTTTCCCCTGAGATATCTTCAGCTGAGGCGTCTACAAAAAAAAACCTTACTACATAGGAAAAAACGATTAGTGAACGATGTAGTAAAAGAACAGGTGAACAACTGGTAACAAATTGAGGAAATGAAAAACTGTACCTCCGAAATACCAACTTCAACTTCTAGAATAAAACTGACTCAACCTATTCTCCTTCAGGCAAAATACCGCGAAATAAGTTCATGAGACTGTTGCAATTTATTCTATCCTTTTATATCATGCTTTTTAAAAATTTACATTATAGCTCTTTTTTCTTGGCAAAATTTGAGGCTTAGTTTTGAGGCTTGGTATTATTTTTAGGTTTGAAAGGAGTAATTAGTAAAACAACCACCTCAAGTATTTTGAGCGCTCGATCAGTGCGCCCTTCTTCCAGCAAAACCATTGCCAAATCGAGGAAAGCTACTTCTTTACCGTGAGCACGTTTGACAACGTCGAATACGCTCTTTAATACTCCCATGTTCTCCCTGCAAAGGTGAACGAACATAAGTTTAGAATGGTCTTTTGTAAAGATTGATAGAAAAAAAAACGGGATCTTTCAGAACAGGACAATTCAACCTTGACACTGCTCCTTATCATCAGCAATCGACTGCCAATATTAGCCACTGAAAGGAGTAACAAGTAATCAAAAAAAAAAAACACTCACGCTCGAATGGCGGCCGCAGCTAATTGGTATTGACCGAGAGCACTATTCGACTCAACAGTATGTTCAACCATCAACTGCAACGCCTCTTCCAACTTACCACTAGAATTAAATAGATTTTGCAAGCATTATATTGAAAATAAGCAAAACCAACAAACGTACGCTTCAATCAGCCGTTCTAATTGCCGCTGCCTTACACAGATAATTATCCTCAGCAGTTGTTGTGTTCCAAGATTGAATTTCTTTTGCAAATACTGAGACAAATGGCGCATTTCATCTATGCTCCATTCGTCACCCAGACGTTCGCCCACCTTCAAAAAAAGAGGTACTCCTCCTTTCCACTCTAACTTTTACTGCATATCAATCAAAACAAGAGGAAAAAAGGTGAAAGTCCAGAAGTTAAAAATCAGTAAAAGGAGCAGATGCGACGTTACCGTTTGGAGAGCAGAAGGCGTAATAGTAAGCGCGGAAGCCCTGAGATCTTCAGAAACAGCATCAGCTTGTTCCTTACGTCCGCTAAGAGCCAAAAGTGATATATATGTGAGAGTGTTTTCCACGGAAGGTGAGCCGATTCTGAATAACCTGAACCAATAATAAAAACTGAAGGGCAAAAACTGAACAATTACCGATTTTTCCACAGTTCTTGCATGACGTCAAAGTTCTTTTCCGACAGAGCAGCCGAAAAGGCGGTGGAAAACATTTGACTTGCTAGATCGTATATGCGCGACGATGGCTTATTTGCAGACTCTTTGATCAGATGTAAATGACGATCAACGTGTTTATAATTGATTGGCTGCAAAAAGATGTAACAAATTGCAAATCGCACACTAACAGTCTGAAGAACCAACCTTTTCAGAGCTTATTTTCTTCAGAATCACTTCATGAATAGCGTTCACCACAGCTGGTTTGTGATCAGCGCTTGCTTTAATGTGAGCCATTTCCTCTTCAAGCGCCTCGAGATCACTTTCGAGCCATCTCGCGTACGTCTGAAACGAGCTTCTCAAATAATAACTTGACTACGAACTCAAACCAGAAGACCAATAGAATTATATACAGATGAAAGATACGAGATTTGCTTTCATAAAAGAAGCAACCATTGGAAAAATGGTGATAGGAAAGGTATACTAACCTGGCTCTTCTTCCTAAGCCTCTCCAACAGTTCTGCCTTTTCCTTTTGTCCTTTTTCGATCAGTAATTTCTTACCGTCTGCTATGTCTTCGGGTGAAAAGCGTACACGTTGCTAAAACGTAGTTTCTCTAGAAATTAGCAAGTTAAAACGTAGAAACTTGGCCTGACGCCTGCAACCTTTCCAAGTTTGGATGCTCTTGCAGAGCAGAGCTTGATTATGAATTTCCAGCCCAACATACACGCACCTCGACGCTTTTGAACGTCATTAGCAGAGCTTTGTTCGAGTCACGGGGTCTAAGGAATTGGTTCATTCCTCACTATTCTATCTAAGCTGCATAGTTTAACTCAGATTACCCTCGTTTTTCGCGCGTGTCCCCTTCAGTCCTACCCCCTACCACCAGTGTTTTCACACTATCACATGTCCATCTTCCGAATTAGAACGCTCTAGGTCCAGGAGAACATTTTCCGCGGATGCCCCGTCTCCCTGGGCGGAGTCAAGTTCAGCCACTTACTATCAATGTACCCATGCTGCCGCCTGCATCCAGTCCAGATATGAATTTTTGGTCGGTCACACACACCGACACACACACATTTAGCGCGTTATATTTAGTAGAATGAAAATCACTTATATAGGAGCTACATACCTCTTTCTCAAGATAACCGACTAGCATACGAGCTCTACTGACTGGAAGAAGTTCGGATTGAAGTTGTGCGATAACATATTTCGCTGCGACCGGCGACTTTACTTTAGAGTTTTCCGCTGAAAGATTTTCTTTAAAAACTTGTCATATGAAGACCACATGGAAGATGACACTGCAAAAGCGAATTCACAAAAAAAAAACATAGGGAAAAGATGAAGAATTTTTCCGAAGTGTGGATGAGTCAGTACATTAAAAGAAACGGATAAGGTATGCATAAGATAGGAGAAAAACAGTATGATTGAATAAGGGATAGGATTCGATAAGGATGGTCCAATAGTACTAGGTGAGTGAATCACAGAGAGGAAAGCGAGCAGAGGGGCCAGTTATTACAAGAATATGTTTTGAGGACACATTCGAACACAGTTTGACACAGAAAACTCACGAGGGAAATTGAGGGCAAGAAGACGTGCAGCTAGGGCTAACTGCCGCTCATCAGCTGCTCCTTCTTTCTTTTCACGATTCACCACAAACCCAGCAATTTGCTTCTGAACACGGCTTATACTCAGTGACTGTACCGCACCACTGAAAATAGGAATTTCGCTCCAATTTCCATCCAAATGAATGCATTCTCTCTACGAAAAACTAACCTGTCCAATAACTTTTCAAGCTTCTCCTCAGCCAGTGGATCACCTTTCCTAAGTAACTGTTGAACTAAGGCAGTTGCATATTCTTTACGAACATGGGCAGATTTGAGACTTTCGAGAGCAGGAATAGCAAGGTCAACATCTGAAGCGGAACAAGAAAAGATGTTTCTCTGTATTCTAGGGTTCGAAACCATTTGAAAGAAAAGTAGCCGTTCTACCCTGATTATGCTGAGATATGCTGAAAGGGGTAACTTGGCAAAAGGTAACAGATTCTTAACAAAACACACCTTTTCCGCCGAGCACATAAATGACTGGATACATAGACATCACGTCCTGCACAGTTCGTTGACTATCATATGAGAAAAGAACAGTTGCAAGGTCGGCGAGGAGCCTAATGCGCTCTTCCTTTGCCAACTTCACGTTTGTGAGCTGAAAAAAGTAACAACATGCAATGATATAAATCTAGAGAGGCTACCGTGAGTGCGAAAAAACCCGTTCAAGTTATGTTTCAACAACCCAAACCCTTCTTTTCTCAATCGGTAGTAGAAAGCCACGATGTCCTGGATTCTATGGGTATGCACGGTCTAGATCAGGAAATATGATCAAAAGGAAAATAAAAGCAGTGAGTTACGCGAGGCTCTTTTCCTTTCCCTGTTTTCTCATCCTCTCAAAACACCCAGACTGAGGTTGAAAGACGTCATTTCAAATGTGTTGCCTCAAGAGAAATCGAGGGTTCGGATGAACAATAACAAACAAGAGTTCCAAAACTTCATACATTACCAGCCATATTAGCCTACAAAACTGAAATCCACTAAGTAGACCACTGACCTTTTCGCTCAGCTTCTGTGCGAGGCTTTTCCTCAGAGCTGGCTTTTCTGACAAGCATTTTTCCAATAATCCTCTTTTCTGCACAATAGAAAGCGTCTCATACGCTCGAGCAGTACTTATCGATCTTTCGAGGAGAAACAGAACATGATCTCTGCAAAAGATTACTAAAAAGTTGAGTAAAAAGAGCGTAAGTGAAAAAATCGCGTTCCCCACCTGACTATGCCACATTTCTCCATTGACTCTGCCATGGCGAAAATACTATCAATATCGTGACTAGTATCTCTGAGCCAATTTCCCAACGCATCAGCAAGCGACAACTCGAAGTTGCTAAACATTTGAGTTTGTAGCAATTCCCAACAAGTGAAATGGAATTCTTGGCCGACTGACCTATTCCGGAATTTGGGGTGCAGCAGCCCATAAAGTTTGAGAGCCATGTCAAGTTTACCTTCGTAGCAAGCACGCTTACATCGCGCCAACACCTTGGGATTCATGTGCCACTCTACAAGCGTCGACCCTTCTGGAGCCATCGTCAAATAGGGGGACATCTGAACACGATTATTGGTCTTAGCAACATTTGTTATCGAGATTTTATAGGAAAAATACCTTTTCGATGGCGTCCACTTCCCCAGCTTCGAGCATGTCAATCAAAACCCCCAGGACGAGTTTGTTGTTCGAGATCTTAAGAAATTTAGGAGTAATGTACAAGAATTCGAACTGATTTAACCCATTGCGTACCGCGTGCTGCACATGGTGAAGCACGCCCCTCCGCCTCTGCGCGCCCGCATTTTCGTCCGGAATCACTCTATAGTTTTGATAAAGTTTGAACAGTCCATACTTTGCGATTTGCTCAAACAACCGCTCTGTGTGGCCGAGTGCTGCACGCCGTGAACCACGTCACCCGCTCGATTTCGAAGGAAACGCCGAGCACATTCGGCAGCTAGCGCAAAACACTGCGGTACGCAATGGGTTAAAGATCAAAGGTTTTTCGAGGGACCTGGTTCGGCTTGGCTCCGACTGGAATGGCGGCAACAGTACTAACAGCGATTGAGTTGTCTCCACGAGACACTGCTGCTCGAGCTATCGCGGTATGAAGCAGTACCTCATTTGCGGATGCGGCGAACTTCTAAGTAATATACAACTTTAAAATTCACAAAGAACCTCGAAGACTTATTTAGAGATTGAAAGCGCCACAGTAGAACGTTAAAAAAACCTGCACAAATGCTTCAGCCTGTTTGTAGTGACCTCCCTTGGCTAAGGAATAGATGAGTGATTCGAGAACCGTTTCAGTCACAGCCATACCATTTGTTTTCATGTGATTAATTATATCTCTGTAATGTCTCCTCACTTATCTGATCACTTCTACCTCATTTTAAATTACTCTTACAAAAATCAGTAAGGAACCCACACGATTGCCTGAGTATTTGCTGAATTCGCATAAACTTTCGAAAGGTAACCGTAAGTTTCGGCGTCTGGGGATAACCCAGCAGCATCCCAGTCTTTGAGTTCCTCCACTACACTAACTTGTTCCCCATTGTCAATACGAGCCGAAAGAATGGCATTTTTCGCAAGTGGGCCAAGCACAACTCCTGGAACGAGTATCTGAAGTATTAGAATTACGGTGAAATACAAATATGTCGCCTCCATCACAGGAGCTTCACATAATTAAGCTGTAGCACCTCGGTCTCGAATGGCTTTTAAGGCTTGGCTCATGAACGCTGCTCTTCTCAAGCTGCCCACAGATTCACATCCTTCACCGAAAGTGGAAAGAAGGACGGATAATTGACGATCCGATAGCAATGTTAGATCTTCTTTAGGATCAGCCAGCCGCTTAGCAACCTCAAAAGTTATAGACAGGTAAGTATTAGAACACATCTTCGCTTTTCTTTTCTACCTTTTCCGGCGTTTCACTGTAGACCATTCCTCGCCACTCGATGCTGGAAAACCGCATTAAATCAAGGAAGAAATTTTGTCGTGAATAGACTCAATAGTTGATTAACAATCTGAAGAATAATCAGAAACAATAAGACGCACTGATCAACTATTTCCTGAAGTGTTTCTGCTCTGTTGCTTTCTAAAGCATCTCGATGCTTGTTCTGTAATCGAATTTGTTCTGCTGGTAGAACTGGCATATTCTGCAAATAGCTAGTAAAAAACTGCTTCTGAGTATGAAACAATTAGTCTCCATTTGTCAAAATCTCATAAACTGAGAGAACACAATTTCGATTGATTTTTAACAACACTGATAGCACAGAAAGGCTCTAGCCTTGCCCCCCCACGGTGCGTCGCCTTCGACTTAGTCTCGTATGCTTAGTTACTAGAAAAAAGATACAAAAAACGAAGCAGCATTATTTGCTGCAGGTTCGTTTCTCACAGTAAAGCTCTTACTTTTTTGACGCCTCGATTGTTATCCCTGACTAGCGGAGCACGTGTTTGTCGACTTGTTGCCTGTGATGCGGCCAACGCCATATTTCGAACATGGCGTAGCCTGAATTGAGTTATTCAGCTTTAGATGGAAAGAAAACGAGTTTGATGCAGTTTTATCTATCTGGACAGAAAATAGAAGATATTTTGCGACTTTTGCTTCCTTAACTACAAAAATCTTGTAACTAAAGAACTGGTTCAACTGTTTCGTTAAGCTTCGGCTTATTCGAAACTTTTAAAGAAGTACACAATTTTCTCCTAGATGCTGATGAGCCACTGCTTCCCCCTTCAACAGAGCTCACAATTTCGATGCAGACTAATTCACTTTCTTTCTTGCAAAAGAAAACATTAAACACTCACCGCAGGATAGGGACCCTCCTCAAAGCAAGCATCGTTCTAAAAAATATAAACTCCGGATCATGACATGGTGAGCCTCTTGATCAGTACTACTTGTGATGATAACAGTGTTCTACCATGACACAACTGTCCTAACCTCTTTTATTCAACAAGAAACTCCTCCTCGCAATAGCATTTTGTCATATAATCACTCGATCGCAGCGATATCTGAGGCGGTAGTACTGACTCGTAAACAATAGTCCAAACGACTTAATTAACAACTCTAATTCAAAAACAACTGCAAATTAGCCTCCTAACTATCTAAACTACCAACAAAATTATAACAACTAACGAGAGAACCTATTCTAATATCTACAAAATACAAAACAAATAAAAATGACGACGGCAGGAGACCATTCAACGATTCAAGGCATTTGATATCACAACAAAGCGCTGTTGATGTTCCAGTTTTAGTCTCAAGATCGAGCAGAAGACTTCAGTTTCACAATTCGTTGAGTGAGGTGTGGCGGGATTTCCAACTTGTTAACCATGCTCCAAGAAACCAGACGATCAGCATCGTGAGCACTTCCAGCCTTCTCTGGAAAGGTGTATGTTGGGATGGGAAACTTCCGCGGGATGCCATATTGATGAAAAATACTTTGGCCTTCCTCACAGAGTATTGACCTACAAATCGTTACGAAACACAACGGATGATTAGGCAGTGCAATACAAGGTAGCGATTCAAAATGGATTGAAAAAATGTGAAGAGATCCCATTTCAACAAAGCCTAATCAAGCTTCAGCACGCTGCTATACTAATTTAGCCATCAATCGAAACTACTGGATTCGTTCCATGTGAGCTTCTGGAAAGGAGTGACTTTATTCCGTACCTGCTTTTGCCAACCAGAGAGATTGCATGAATTGAGAGAGTTCAAAAAGTTGCTCGTCGTTGACACGATGAAGTTTGCGTTTGGAATCATCGGGCTTCAGCTTTTGCTGTTTTGGCCGTCCCATACCACAAAACGAGTTCAGTACGGAAGACAACTCAGGAGATAGAACAGGCTAAAAATCATTCCACAAATTACGAAGACATCTCCTAAAATGATGCGAGAATTGCTCACCATGTCTTTCACGCTTGTCTTTACTTCCTTTATTTTCCGTTTCTCAGAAAACATGCACTGCGTCACCAAATCAGCAAAGTTCTCGATAGTTTCTAGTGAATCCTTAAAAACAAAAATCAAGGAGCCGATAGCCATAGCCTCTTTTACAGAGTATTCAAACGAAGTCTCAGCCTTTACCCACGCCGTTTCGATCTTTTTGTACAAATGGTCAACAATGAAGCACCCGTTGAGCCGATAACAACAAAACTTTTGTTTTATAAGTATGACCAGTTGGGCTGCCCGGTTTACGCCGGGCCCTCATTCCTTACATTTATTAATCAGTTAGAAATGCCCCCCCCCCCTTAAGTGAAGAAATGTAGGGGAATATAGGATAGAGCTGTGTTATCCATATCACTGCCTTTATCGTAATCATAAAGTTTGCGGACGAACACACCGACAAACAGACATACTGACATACCGACAAACCGACACACCAAGTTTCTGCTTTATAATAAGAGAGATAGATGTTCAGACTTGTGAAAGGTTGGTGAACGAAAGACGAACCTCATTTTGAGTGATGCAGAGGAGTGGCTTCTTGAAAAATCTCCCTGGAATAGCTACCTGAAAAGAAAATGTGCTTAACTGGTGAAACTGGTGAAAGGATGATGGAGTGAGCAGCTCTGTTTCTCATACCTTGATAAGCACCGCTTTCGCAGCATCAAGAAGTTTCAGGTGGACTAATGTCATAACTAAACTGGAAAGAACAGCAAAAGGGTGTTCGTGTTGACAACAGTGCTTGAGCAGTTTGCCTGAATGCTAGCCGTTAAAGCAAAGAATTCGCAAAGATTATTCCCAGCGTGCTAAGGGACTTACCAACCAGCCGAGCCTGTTCTACTGGATTTTCTACAGATGTGAATAATCCCTGCCATAACAGCTCAACTCCACTAGTAGTCCCATATCGCTCAGAAAGCCGTTTCCATCTACCGAACACTTGGCTAGTATTACTGAAGAAATGGACATATTCGCTAATAAAATCAGGGTAAACGCTGCAAAACACAAGTTTTAGTGCATTCAGAGTTTGCGTCTCTCCGTGGTAGAAAAATACCAGTGCTTTCATTGTGGTGTCCGACGGAGCGTGTCCTACGACCTCCGCTCATAAAACAATGGAAAACCTAAGTGAAACTATAGCGCAGATTCTATCAATACCTTTTCTCCATCAGGAAATGGGTGATGCTGCGGATAAAAATGTCAGAGCTCCTATCGAATCCCAAAGAAATCATCACTTTGTGAACGGTTTCCACTTGTTCCAATGGCCCTAAATGATGATTTCACAATGCGCGAATTAGAAAAGCTATTGCCAAAAATGAATTCTCACCAAGAGAGCATAAGGTCGAGTAGAAATCCTCCAAGATCAATGCTGGGGCAGTTGATTTTGATGTTACAGCTTAATAATCAAATTTTTACTTAAAGAAGATGGCTTAGTATCCATACTAGCAGATCAAATGCTTGCAACACAAAGTGACTCACGAGACTTCACAAGGAACATATTACGAAAATTTCGTAACATCTCCGAAGCTGCCTCTACTGATCCACTGTCACGGGCAACACGGAGCGCTAGTCGGACACCATTCACATCATGAAGAAATCCTCGACGATTACAAACAGCGCTGAAAATATGTCAAAGAATAAAATCTGAACGGACTGTGAATCGGAAAAAGGCACAGGAAGCCCAAAAATGATTTAGTGACGCTCTACTATTCCAAACTAAATTTTAAAAAGAACTAAAACGGCGATTGTCAAATAGGTACCTAGCACGTCACCGTTTTTATCATCATTTCTTTAATTTTGAAGCCTCAAACGGGCTGAAAAATAAGAAGGGACTAGTGTGAAAGCAACCGACTCACAAGTCCTGGACAAACATGACAGCTTCATCGACGTCATAGCTATCGCGAATAATAAGATCAAAAAGTTGATCCAGGTAGGCACCAATGCTACGATGATCCGGCCACTTCTTCTCCGTTAAAGTGCATCGTAAGGAAGCCAGATCCTACAATGAGCTACTACTGTTTAATAGTGAAAAATATGTGTACAAAGCATTGAGAGCTTTTATTTGGAAAACCGTACAAAATTCCTGTCATACAAACATTGTACAGGAAGCGCTTACTGTTGAGACATGGTTTAAAAACAAAACAAGCTAGGAAGCTGAGCCGAACCTGGTTANAGAGTAATTAAACACTTACCTTCATAGCGAGCTGAGCCATCTTCAACTGCTTTTCCTACTGGTAATGGGTTTAATTCGCTACGCTGCCTTGATTTCTCCTGCACATCTGGTTTAGAAACCACGGCTTCCGCAACAGAATAGTCCTCTCTACAACGTTAGCAGTTCATAAGGATGGACTAGAGCATAAACCAGGTACGTTAAGTTGATACCCCTGCAAATCAACTGAAGACAGGTCACGCAGCACCGCAGAGACGTCGTACCCTTGATCGATGAGTTCTTCTAATTGTTCAATATCACTAGCTTCTGATGATCCACCCAGCTCCGACGGGTCCGCAGTAGTGGGGATAGCACCAGCGTTGTTTATTGACGGAGCATCATAACTGCAAAACAGCATAACCTTAAGTCTTCTATAAATTCAAATTAATACAGCCGTATATGGCTTTGATCATCTCTTAACTAGCTGGAGAACACAAAAACATTATCTGGCCGAATGCAACAAGTCAAAATAAAAAACGAGGCACCTCAACAGCTTATCCATGAATGGCGCCTTAGTGAGCGTTTGTGCAGCATTGTTATCGATAATTTGAGCAGACAGCAACCCAAAATCGTCGAATGATCTTCTAAACAACCATTTTGAATTCGGGGACCAGCAAAAGTATGAAAAGTTCTCACAATTCACGAATCACTTGTTGAGGAGTGTTGTTGGAACGAATGTTCTCAACAGACGTCGGGCTCAAGAACCAGTGATTAGGCCTGAATCGAAAACGTTAGGAAGCATAAGCTCAAACGAATGAAAGTCTCTATGATTTTGTTAAGACGGACTTCCAATAGAAAGGCAACCACATAGATAGTTACTAGTGTTCATGAGTTTGTGTTTGTACAATAATTTCCAAAACCACTTCAACACAAATTTCTCGCAGGTTCACGCCTCTCCCACACACGGGAATGACATGGAAATTGTGCGAATTGTGAAATTGCTTTTCCCTTTTTCAGAAATGAGTGAGCATCCCAAAAGAAAAATATCTAGAAATTGTCAGATTAGGGCATACGTCAGCATAGAATAAGTCAGTTCAGAAAAAAACTAACTGATAATTGTCAAACAAGAACTCAATGGACTTACACCTCCGCAGAGAACTGCTCTTCATAGCCATGGTTTAAAAATAGGGAGGTGTCATGACTATGTTCTTCCCTCGTTGGTCGAGAACGGGAGAGGTGCTGATGCCGCAGAAACCTGTGACAAAGAAATTTCGAAAACCCATTCCAGAAAAGCAAAATTATACTGAGCAATGTGAAATAAAAAGAGATATAATACCTCAACTGAAATGGAACCTTGTGATATCTCAGCATCTTATATTAGTGAGTATAATCTTTATTAAACATAACCGCAATACATATGTGGACTGTTGGTTGAATGGGTCCTCGATAGAGTAGTACCCAGTACACCTGTAACTTTGGAAAAAAAGTTATCTGAGACGAGGAGGTCCCACATACAGAGCCAGCGCTGACAATAAAGAATAATCACACTGAAAGAAGAAACCATGATACGAGAACAGACAAATTACTGAACTAACTGCAAATCACATATCAGCCAGATAACAATAATACTGCCAGGCATTACTTTTCAAAATAAGACATGATCAATGCGACTGTCGCATAGGAGGTGATTTCATTGCTGAAAGGTTCTAAAACACCACTTATTAGAGACCAGCACCACCGTCAATACCTACAAAGTGCGGAAATCGACTGCCATTCGATACTATGAAATGTTGACTTTACATAAAAATACTTAGCCACACGGTGTAATTGCGCACCATCGGCCGATACCGTATCCCACGCCTATATATATATTCAATCGCCTGGGAGTCGCCTCTATGCAAAAAGCGAAGCATGTGGATTACTCATGTATCAGTTCTAATGCTGTGCTTTAAGGGTCATCGGATAAATGAGAGAATTAATAAAAGTAAAAATTGGAATCGATATAAAAATAAAAGGGATCAGCAGCTCGCTAACTTCTCGCCTTTCCCGATACCACTCTTCCCTTTCATATAACAAGTAACGTGTTCTCAATGTCTGAGCTGGGGAACTCGTAAAGTTTCGAGTTCCCTCAAACAGGTATAGTAGGGGCAACAGAATAATGAGGAGAAATTATTTTGATGAATTTCGAGATTTACACAATCTGCACATAAGAATTATGAGGAAAAAAGTGGAAATAGCCGCAGACGATTGGCAAGACGGAAATGAAATAAATGCCAGTGAGGTTAACCACCGTTATAAGGTTGTGAAGAACAGAGTATCAGTTAACAAAACAGCTGATAAACGAGTATATAAATCAAGTCGTAGGAGCAGTAGTTGCCTAAGATAAGTAATCACACAGAGCGTTCGAGTTTTTTTTTAAACACCATCGTAGATGCATCAAAGGCTCATACCCAAATGAGTAGAAATAATAAAGATGGTTCACTCCTCATTTTCGTGCTTGGATCTTATCTTCTGGAGAGGCTCGCAAGTTCATCTGGCGACTTAAGTTCTGCGTTTTCGTTTAAAAATGAGAAAGTGAAAAACGTGAAATATGCGGCAATCGATGAAATGCTCATAAAATAAAAGGGAATGACTCCCAGAAGTTTAAAATGTCAGGAGAAAGCACGATTTGATATGAAATTAGGCGTAAATGTACTGTGGACAGCTAGTGCATGCAATTACACTACGTTACTTGAGATACTTTTACGCCTGCTTCTATATATACAAGCAATGCTGGCGGCGCGTAGCGTGCGCGGTCAGCCTGGCGCTTTGCCAATACTTGTCCATAGAGCGCAGAGCTAGTTAAATAAAGAATTAGGGACTCTTCCTTTTCACAACTTAAACCAGAGCTTTAACCTTGCATTCTGTTTTACTTCTGCACTTAACTTCTTGCCAATGCTAAAAGATGTTCGTTTTGAGTCAAAAAGCATCAGTGGCTACGATAAAATTCCGTGTTGATATTTAGAGATGAATGATTTCCAATTACTAATACAAATATTGATGATCATTTCGAATTTCATAAAAAGTCAACTATTAGTCGTATTTCATGCATGCTGGTTTACATAGGCTCTAATGCTTGGTGTTAGGGACGAGGGGTATCCGGGTATCCACCTCCTCCAACTACATTTTCATCCGTAGCTCTTTTGTAGACGCTTTTGAGACGCTCGTTACTTTAAAAACGACTGATACGAGATTTGAACCTCAATTTTATTGATTATTACATTTTATTGGGCTTGATAGGAAGAAATATGATGGAAAGGTGGAATTTTCATCGCAAATCATTCGACTGCACTTTGTTCTGGTAAATAAGAAAACTCAACAATAACAATCTAACGGCATCTAAAAATCTATAACAAACGTGGCGCTACCTAGGTGACTAACTACTGAACAATTGAAAAGCCTAAAATACCCGTTCAACATCTGAGCAATCATATCAAAAGAGCACAAGTAGAAAAGTCGAAACAAAAATGCACAACAACTATGAAGGCCTTACAAAATCACTTTTCAAACAATAAACTATACACACATTTTACGGGGAGCTTCTCCGGGGCTGTAACTGGGTAAACCCGCATCTGCAGATTGTGGTAATAAGGAACATGAGAATCACAAGCGGAGGTATTTCACAAAAAAAAATTTTGAAAAGTGCTAAACACCACTAGCTTTTATGAGGCCGAACTCCTAAGTGTTGAGACCTCGTTCTTAAGAACTTGTTGAATCTGCCATATGTCTGTAGAACGAATCAAATCGTCATCAGAGCGGATTTTCAGGAATCCTTCCGGCTCGTAAATCCAACGTCTGAAAGCAGAACACAAAATGCACGTATAATGGACATGATTAGGACACTCATGCAGAATGATATGAGATGCCGCTGCTCTCTGATGGGAAGAAATCGTGGTAATCGAGCGCCTCACTCGAAAGATTAGAGTGCCTTAATAATATTCATACTTTTGCTAGTCTACGAGATCCTATTACTATTGAAGACTTTAAACTACCTTGAACCTCACACTGATCACCTATTTAGGAAACATGTAGAGCAACAAACGTTCCGTATCCCCTTTGAACAGATTTTGTTACCCTCTTTTAACCACAGAAAAATGAATGACCTTATTTCTTGGAAACTCTGAAGAGAAAAAGACCAACTTTGCTAGGAGTTCATGCTCTCCTACAAGCTCCCATAAGCGAACTTTTTCGTCGTTTTCCAGATTGACTCCATAACGTTTGAACAAATCGTACAATCGTAACCCAAGTGGTGCTAGTTTCCTTTGTTCTGAAATTGGTTTTATCTACACATAGCAGCAAATCTTAGGTGCAAATTCACCACAAAACCTTGTGTTCTGAATTCATAATTTTCATGAGTTTGGCAAAATGCATGAAAGTCGGAAAATAGGACGAGGATTTCCAATTTTCACTAGTGTTTGCGTAAAGCGCTGTTTAAAAATGACAAGGTGACCAAAAAGGGCATTGCCGTAAAGAGCTAGATTGTTTTCGAAAAATCACTTGCACAACTTGTTTTGACTTAATGCTTTGCTAATTGCTGCTATTTCGCCGCAGTGCGTGATCAAAAATCTCACAGGGTTGGCGAGTTAGGGAAGAAAAGTTGTAAAAGCTTTCAGCCTAATGGTTCGATGCCGATATCAGCCGGCCGACTTGTACGTAGTAAGTGTGAGTGCTGACAAACTATGGCATGAGAGCCTTGAAGAAGTAAGGGCAAGTGATGTCTCGCTGGTGCACAGGATGAAGAACATGGTGCTCAGAGAGCACACATGTATGGACAGCTTCTAATCCGTTTGAGGCAGAAAGATTGTCCTTGAGCTGCCAACCTTGTGTCACTTGCACAATTTCGACTTTTGGAGCTTGTTTCTATGATAGCTTGGGGAACGAAGGCTGCTTTTTTCGAAATTATAGATGACTGACTGTACGAGTAAATCAAACAGATACTTACCACATGTACGGATCCAGTCAACCTGCATCTGTCGTATCGCTTCTGCGTCCTCAACAAACTTTGTATGTTTAAGGCATAGCTCTGCGAATTGCCTTATGAATTCTTCATCGATCTGTAGCAAAAACCATAAATCAGGATATAAAATATGCCGTTTAGAAGTGCACACTATGAACACTTACCATTCTTGCCTTGAATGAATTCATGAAACGCATGGCCATAACACAATCTAGTGGATCAATCTCATCCTAAAAAAAAGGTTTCAGAAGATGCAACTTCGCAAAGCACGAAAATGAAGTTTTTTTTAAAGGAAAGTCGGAATAGTTTTGACTGGCTCAGTCACTTGAATAAGTGAACTACCTTGTGCTCTTCGAGAAAAGTAGCCGCTTCTTCATACTGACGTTTTGCAACAAGCACAGCTGCGTAAAGGCAGTGAACTCGGGACTGATGCAAGAAGTTCTGCGCTTTGTGCAAAACTGAAAGATAGAAAAGTAAAATATCACAGATTATCATTGTCGCATGTATTTCGAGGTAATATGAATAATAAAGAACATCTTCGTACATAAGAAGTATACGCGAATGCGCGCGATCGGGTGCGATGAGAGCGACACGACTTTCGGGGAGAAATACCCTCACCCGAAGTATACAAACAAAACAAAACACAACAGCATCCACTGCGCTTTTACTTTGAAGAGTTTGTATGCGCACAGCAAGAAGCAAAAAAGAACTTCATTTCGACGCATTGACTCACCGTACTGTATATTTCGCTTGGAATTATCAGACTTCTGGGCCAGACAGTACAGTAATAGTGCGACTATGCCATTCGAGCAATATAATCCTGACTGAAATTTCATCCACGTATTCACCGCCTCTTCCCAGCCCAATCTGAAAAATTTTTTCAACACACAAGTGTCTTTTCTTTGAATGCAGAGGATACTATGCCATCGTTGTAGCTGATATTTATCTTTGGAACAGGTCAGCTCTAGAAGGATACAAAAAAGGAATAACAAAAGGAGGGACGTTATTCAAAGCAAAAAGAACGATCATTTTGGGCAGGAAGCGCATGCGCGGCGCGTCCTGACTTCCCGGGAAAGGTGAGGGCTTCACAACTGATCAGAGAACCGTAGTTGCTCCCTAACATTCTGTTTTTGCGGAGAAGTGGTGCCACGTGCTCAAAATAAGCAAATAATGATGATTGCCTAGTTGCCTGTTTTAGTTCCATCAGTTGAAATGAATGACCGACAATAAAAAGGCCTACTTTGGCAATCCATGACAATGCCACTCTTCGGAAACTGCGCTATTGGCACTTTGTGAGGTTTCCAAAGAAGCAGTCACACAAGTGGAGAAAACCTGAAGGCAGGAACTCACTTTTTGAGAACGTGGCCAATAAACACGCATGTTAAAGTCTCATTCGGATGCAACTGAAGAATTTCCAGTTTGATCAAAGTTCGCAGGAAATCGATACATTCATCAATCATCTCAACGGACGGATTTGGAAGCCTCTGTAAAAGCATTCGTCTAATTCACAACCATGTCGGTTTTACAAAAAAAATTGGACTAACGGAAAGAGTACCGCTTCGCTCACCTCGAAGCATTTTCCGAATAGTCGATTGTATTCGTGCATCGAATTGAAGAACGTTTCATATTTGGAAACAGCTAAAAGCAAACGGTATTCACATTGCATCATGAACCCTTCTACTTTGAGTGTGACTCTTTTAAGCCCTTCTACTTATCAGTGATTATAGTTACTTCCTTTGAAAATCCGCTACTCTTGATTTTTTTTTCACAGAAGAAGGGTGAACACTTCCTTCCAGCACCGTTGTCAATGTCAATGTGGCTATCCTCCGCCCCTACCTATTTTATGTGAATTGGAATTCGGTTCAAATTCCTTTCTTTTCCACGTTTGCCGCTTAAACAGAACGGTGAGGCATATCAACCGAAAAACACTTGGTTGAATACACTTGCAGCCCCTTTTTAGAGTTTAGTTCCACCCAGTCATTGTTCCAATGAACAATAAATTATTCAGTTGGAAGGATTCTGAACAACCCAAGCTTGAGGATACTTCCAATTGTAAGTACGGAGCCTGGCGGCGATCCCAAAGCCGCAATGAAATGCCCCTAGAATTCTGGGAAAAGAAAACATTAAAAATGACGAAACCTGAAGGAAAAATATTGAAGCGCGAAAAATGGAAAGTAACGCTCAAAGTTGGAAGCTACCCTTACAATTGGTCGGAAAAATTCTGCAAAAATATTTCCTTAACGTTATGAAACAACAAAATAACTAACCCTGTCTTGGCTGGCAACGTCTTACACTCACCTCCTGGGAATAACCTCCGCAGTTCGAATGCGTAATTGGTCATGTTCGGTAGAGAAATCTCATCGCCTTCAATCGAAAATCTTCGTAAAACTTGTAACAAGTGATAATTTTTGATGGGAGAATAGGAAGGATCATCCTCCTTCTGCCACCTTTCCGATTGCGCCGATCTGAAAACTTGTGCTCGTGGCCAATCAGACAACACTGGATTTCCCCATGAACTCACAGAGATATGAGCATCCTCTTGACATTTCCCCACGGTTCATGATCCAGATACAGCCCCAACACATCAGGAATGATTTCCTCAAAGTCAGTCTTTTCTGGCCAACCGTAAGATGTCAGAAAAGCGTGAACTTTCGAAGAATCCTAAATAGGTCATTTATTCCAAAGATTTACAAGCACAACTGGAACAGGCAGCACCTCAATACATACCCTTTCATCCACAAACTTCTTCAGTTTCTCATAAGTGGCCTGAATTGGAGGTAATTTTGCTTTGAGCCTTTTTTCAACCTCAAATGTTTCCGCATAGTGTTGGCGCAACCATCTGTAATAGAAATGATCACTGAATGATGCTATCATTGCGAATTCGACGTAAACCTACAGTTGCAAATCGCTTGCATATGGTCGGGGTGCTGAGCTCAGATCGGCCATTCGTTTCTCGCAACCATCACGATCCTGCCACCATGCATACATCGTTTTCCAAACGGATTCATTGCTAACACCAAAGCTTCTCAGAATCCTCGCAAATTTGTCCAGCTTAGATTGACCCCCACGAGTTATTCGCTGATTATCTAGAGAATAAAATTGAATGAAATTCAAGAAAAGTTCTCAAATAATTAGATCCTGCTACAATGTATCCAAATGAATACACACACCGTAGAGTGGCTGCAAGACGAGATGGGACAATGCAGAAATATCCAATTCCGACAAATCCTTATATCCGGCATTGCAACAACGAAAAATTATTTTCAATCTTTCGTCCACGTTGTCAGCACTATAACGACAGTATCAAATCTCCAGTTCAAAGCAACTGTCAAGATCTCGAGCGGAACTAGCTGATATCACGGCAGTTGAACGGTGAGCGACAGAAAACGAACCTTGCAAGAAGGGGCAGGATCAAATGAGGACGGGTACGATCTCTATCGACCATATCCAATAATGCACTGACATACTCCATCCTTTTATCCATACTGAAGTTCTTGTACATGACCGCTGCGAAAAGCAAATCGTCGTGTATTCGTGGTCTGGAAAATAACAAATACGTCCATACATCCAATATCTTTGAAAAGATCTTGCTGTAAAGGAAAAAATTCAAAGCCGGTTGTAGTTGTATACTCCGGTCACTTGCTGTACTATTCCTTATCATTTCTCATTAGGTGTAGTTCCTCAAACTTGTAACGATTATAAAAATTAAAAATAGCAAATCCTATAACGTCCGTCTGTGTCAATATGGCTCACCCAGCATTTGCTGTTCAAATCATAAATTTTTGCTCTCAATCCTCATACATTTTGTTTAAAGCCTTGATTCCTAAGATACTGTACAACTCATGTCCTATAGAAGTGTCAGTCCGATTCTCCAGCTTCTGACAGAAAATTATCCTTAGAACCTTTGAACAATGGGAAGAGCTCCACGTATTCAATGTCAAAAAGATTGATGGAAAAATCTTAGCGTCAAAGAGATCGATGCAGAAATCATGAGCGCCGGGTGACTCCTACAACATAAGATGGGCGACAGCTTGCGCTAGCCCTCAAACTAAACGCTTCCCGCTAATTTATGATGAACAGTCGGAATTATGGGTAGGTTCTACTCAGCGTTACTCTCATTTGTTGACTCTGAGCCAAAAGAAAAAAANAAAAAAACTATGAAAACTGCAGACGAGCAAAAAAAGGAATTAAGGAAACAAAAGAATGATTACAGGATGTTTCATCAAATAACGAGAAATGGACCCACGCGTTTGGATGGTTTTTGAAAACGGCGACCACACGGTTGGCTATATCGTTGAGTTTCACAACGCTCACCTCATTACGAATCACTTGCCTACTGAGTTGGGAAATCATTTGATCCCGAAATACTGAATAAAAGTGTTAACAAGAAGGGCACTATCTTGAAGAACGAAGAGAAGGAAGATTGCACTTAACTTACAAGATTTTTGCTGATTTCTTAGACAATCGACTATTTTGTTGGTGTCTTCCAGAAGGGCAATGGCAGTATAGTAGTGTTGATGGCTGATATGGCGTTCGACTTCGCGGATTAGCATGCGAAAATATCCCGACTGGTGATTGGTATGGTTGAGCATCTGATACAAAATAAAGAACATGTGAGTGAATAGGTGAGAAATGGGATACTGTCATGCTGCTTTGCATGGAATCGATTTATACGAACAGAGGAAGTTGCTTGATATTGAAGCTCTCGCAAAGTATTTTACGCGCCGTGAAAAAGTGCTTATATTGACTTCTACGAATAATCTAGGACCAAGTTCTGAACGTTCAACGGAAAAGCAGGCCAGTAGGAACCGGTTTCACGCATCAGCTGGGTGGCCACCTTTCGGAAATTCTTTGCTAACCTGGAGCAGCGGTCATTCTTGATTGTTTCTCGTAAACCGAAAAAAAGACTGAATTAATCCTGAGGAATGCCCTTCAACTTGGCCGATGGTGTTGGCGTAGTTTCAAAATAAAACAACTAACCTGTTCTGTTAGATTGACGTATTCTGCTCCATCTCCATAGCGACTTTTTTCCGCCAATAACCAGATGGTCTCGAGCACATCGGAGGAGGATAGGATGAGTTTACGCTCTTCACCCATGACTGCTCGTCGTAAAACCTGTTGAGTACAGGATTCACACTAACTGATTCCTGATCTGGGAAATTTCCAAACTTTTTTCAACTGCACTTAACAAAAATAGTAAGAGTGGTATTTGTTTACTGATAAACTAACTGGAGCTTACTCAATCTGAGATTCCGCTGGTCTGAGAGCCGCAAACAAAGCATTAGAAGTACTCGGAGACACTAATAGCCCTATTTAAGATACATAAAACCAGCGAAATTGGTCGACTGCAATGATAACTAAGCCTCTCCAATATCACCTTTTCTATCAGGCTATGTCAGAATTTTCTTGTAAAAATTCTCACTTTCCTCCGTCCTACTAGAAATGGATAGCCAGAAAAGAAGTTACAAAATAAGTTATAAAAAGTAGGGACAAAAGAATAAAAATAAGTGGGACGTGACAAGTGTGTTAGGCTTACCGTCCTCAGACGATTCAAGTCCGCACGTGCGGCAGCAGCTTTAGCGCATGCCCCTTGAGAACTGGAGACAGCATCTGCACCATATTTGCCTAGTGCCTGCTGAAATTACGCTAATCCTAATGCCTCAAAAAAAATAAGATCGAAAATCACAGGAAAACCTGTAGTGACGGAAGGTTCATCGAAGGAAATATATTCAAACCTCAGCGAGGGAATCAGCTTTGGCGTAATGTCCTCTTACTGCAAAGCAATAGACCAGGGCATCGTTGCATGCTTGATTTAATATAAATCCACGCCTCGCCATTTCATAGACCTCAAATTTGTGAACTTCCGGAAAGTGTGCATTCAACTTGATCAATTATTTTTCCCCGGTTCAATCTGAGGGCCACAAATTGTCTGTAGCTCAACTCTTCCCTTATTGACCGGAATTCAAAAACCTAAAGAAACAAGGGAAGGGATCGGAAACTAATTCAGTGAGTGTTGCATGTAGATTTTTATTCGAAGAAAACGACCAACCATTGCTCGACATCCCTCCGCATTTCCCTTACGAGCGATATTGTTAAGAAGAATTTCAAAAGTGTGCTGATCAGGCTCCAATTTCCTAAACGAAATATTTCAACCTGAGCATCGAATCATCGAAATACTGGCAAAAATGAACCTTTTCTCCTCCATATCTTTTAGAAATCCAAAGGAATCGAATATGCAGTCGATTTCCAACAGAGATGACAACAATGCGTTGATACTATTCGTATCTACCTTTACTCCTTAAGTATAAGTATAAGGGACTTCAGGGAAGGTAAAACGTCGTCTAACTCATTGGTAATGACTGCTTCGCTCGTTATAAAGTATATAACTACATAGCCAAACACGTAGTCTCTTTTATGGGAGAAGATTCATATATTAAAAGACTGCAGTCAAACAGCGACAGGCAGATGACTAGCCATACGAACACAGAATATAAGTTCTCAAAGAGCGTTTTGTCATATCATAAATGCTTCGACATCTATAGATCATAGAGAACTAGACAAAATAAACGTTGGAAAAAAAGTAGAAAATATTTAGAATAGAGTTGTATTTCGGATGGAGATGTAGGTCTGATTTTTTTGCTTTCATTTTCATGATCGAACAGGCGAGTCACGTGCCTTTGCTATCTATTTGTTTCCATAATCGAGCTAAAATCTGTTGCCGTGATGAGTTCGGTACGTTGGATGAAGCACTTCCGCACGCTCTGAATAGCATCGGAAGCCATCGCTCGGAAGAGCGTCTGAGAGTCGATAGGAACGCTTCTTAAAAGCCATGACTATGTTGTGAAGTTCACTGCAGACAGCCATGAGGACTCACCATCATCCTCTTCCAATCGCCTAACCACATCGAGGAATATGGTGCTAGCCGATATCCTGTAATTCTTTTTCAAACTTTCTTGAATTTTGGCCAGCACTGTTTCGGGAAAACGTGATCTTGCCTTCTGTAAAAGACGAAATCAGCGAAACCTTGTCAAGTTTTGCGCTTCGTACTCTCCTCATGCTGAGTGTGTACTGACCCTGCACAAAATCAGAACAGCAGATTTCTTGGGATTTTCAACACTGCACTAAGGGTAAGTACGTAGCACAATCCACATTAGGATTAGGCTGAAGACAATGGTATCATCCTGTGCCCATTGCACTTCTATGACCTTACCTTTTCATTTCTAGCGGGAACTCCTCTGAAGTCCTCCCGATTAATCAGTCTATTGTCGTCACACGCGATAAATCCTGTTTTTGGAGTGGAACAGTAAGGTATGGGTACAGAGCTGCAGTGACGCAATGACTTTGGGGAACTGAATTGGAAAGAAGCACTGAATTACATACAATAGGTAGATAGAACGTATTTTGAAGACGCTCGTCAGAAAGTTCTTGAGTAAAGTCGGTCCTCCGTTTTCCACCACAAGTAAATAGATTCGAAATAAAAATCCTCACCGCAAAAAGAACTTCGTTCTCATTAAGAGGAACAGCCGCATCGGGCTTCACAGCAGGACCTCTTCCAACTTCCGTACCTGGGGCTTTCTCCTAGGGTGAGATCTACATACTATATGAAGCAACACTGCATGATTCAGCTTCTGAAAGACCTACGGCCACTCCTGCTATTGAAGTGTACCATATACTTTAAATTGTTTATTAAAACAATAACGAAACCATATTCTACATTGTCAGTATTAATTCCCATCACATGTGACCAGTAAGTACTGAAACGCAAAAGGACATGTGAGCATCGCGGATGTACGCACATCAATGTAAGGACTTGTTCATCACACTTTGCGTTCAGAGGGACTTATGGAGACATGCGTGAAATGCGAGTGAATTACGAGATATTCTATTTACAAGATAAACGATTTTGATTAAAACTGTAGATGCAGGCAAAATTGATCGAGCAAAAAAAGAATCATAAAAACATGAAAGTAGGGAGAAAAATCTTACTTCCATTCCGATTAGAAATGTTTGTTGATCATGATTTGGAGCTATTATTACATTATGATAATACAGACTACAGAACAATAGAATTGATGGATGGTGGTTAAATTGTACAGAGTATAAGAGATGTGAGGGTTTGATGTTGCCTGAAAGACTACATGGCAGAAGCGATAATTACCAGCCATAATATAAATGTAAGATCTGTAAAACTGCCACAATTATGGAAAATCAGTGCTTACAAGTGAGTAAACATAACCACGAATACAATAACAACAATAGGAACACGAAGTTTCACCGGTGGAAATTTGACATGAGTGGTGACGAATAATAATGCTGCAGAAAGGGGTTGTCGGAAATTGCCGTTTCAATTGAAGGCTGACTATTATCGAATAGGAGAATCACGGATGGGGCAGAATGGCTAAATAAATTTGAAAGATAATCGTATGAATTCCATGAGATTATTAGGTTGGTGCAAAAGAAATGCAGGTTTTTTGTTTTACTAGTTTCAACACTATTTTTTTAAAGAAAACTAAGCCTTTTTCATGGGGTA